CTACAAGGGCCTGTTGTAAGGATGGCCATACGGGTCTGAGGGTAGGGCTAGTGCCACGCTTAAGGATCTTGGAGCATAGCGTCTCAGGGTCTTAAGGCCTAGGGGTGTCGGTCCCAGGGTTCACGGTACAAGGGCTTAAAGCTTAGGTTTTGTTTAGACTTTTTGTTAGTTAAAGCCTCGCCTGCAGCGTGTTGACCTGCAGGTCCTCAACTTCTGAAAACCCAATATTCACCCATTCTTTGTGAATTTGCACTGTCTTTGTCCCCATGCCAGACGCCCGGGAACCTGAGGCTCCATTTTCATCCAAAGAACGGTTTCGCCTGAAACTTGAATTTCAAGCCCCAATCTCAAGCCCTCGGCTCCAAAGCCTTGCATCCCTGAACCCGAAACCGCTGAAATCCTAAGCCCCCAAACCCTGAACCGCTCCATTCTGAGGAAAAGTGATTTCATTTCCGAAGAAACCGACGATGTCGAGGAGCCCGTCGTCGTCGTCGTCGTGGTAGTAGCAGCCGTAGCAGTCGCAGCAGTAGTAGCAGTCGTAGCAGTCGCAGCAGCAGTAGCAGTAGCAGTAGCAGTCGCAGTAGCAGTAGCAGTAGCAGTAGCAGTGGCAGTGGCAGTGGCAGTGGCAGTAGCAGTAGCAGTAGTGGTAGCAGTAGCAGTAGCAGTAGCAGTAGCAGTAGCAGTAGCAGTAGCAGTAGCAGTAGCAGTAGCAGCAGCAGCAGCAGCAGCAGCAGTAGCAGGAGCAGCAGCAGCAGTAGCAGCAGTAGCAGCAGTAGCAGCAGTAGCAGCAGTAGCAGTAGCAGTAGCAGTAGCAGTAGCAGTAGCAGTAGCAGTAGCAGTAGCAGTAGCAGTAGCAGTAGCAGTAGCAGTAGCAGTAGCAGTAGCAGGAGCAGGAGCAGGAGCAGGAGCAGGAGCAGGAGCAGTAGCAGTAGCAGTAGCAGTAGTAGTAGTAGTAGCAGCAGCAGTAGTAGCAGTAGTGGTGGTAGTGGTAGTAGTAGTCATGGCTGAAACAGTCGTAGTCGTAGTACAGTCGTAGTAGCAGCAGAAGCAGCAGCAGCAGCCGTTTGTCTGCTCCCGTGACCCATCGGTCATCTGATTGTCCTCTATTCCATTTTGCATCTTGACTTGACATGTAAACCGAAGCAAAAGCAAGTCAAGCTCATGTAACCCTATGTAACAGAAGCCCGGTCTAACAGCAAACCTGATCTGATCAACGACCCTGCCTGGCAGGAAGACTTTGCCTAGCCATAAAGTCTCGTCTAACAGTAAGACCCTCTGCAACACTAAGATCCCACCCAACAACAACGAGTTTTCATCTGACAGAAAGTCGCTTATCTGGAACACCGTTTCGTACGACACAAAGCCTCCGCAGAGGTCGCAGGAGCAGCAGCAGCAGCAGAAGAAGTAGCAAAATTAGAACGAGTAGCAGCAAAAGCAAGAACAGCAGTAGTAGGAGTGGGACTCGTCGTCGTCTTGGTTGTGGTGGCGGTGGTGGTGGTGGTGGGGGTAGTAGTACTGGCAGCAGTGGTAGCAGTAGTTTTCGTCGTCGTAGTAGCAGCAGTCGTAGTAGTAGCAGCAGCAGCAGTAGGAGTAGTGGGAGTAGCAGCATGAGCAAAAGCAGCAACAGCAGCAGCAGTACTAGCAGTAGCAGTTGCAGTCGCAATCGTAGGAACGGAAGAAGCGCAAGAGCCCGATTACCAGCAGGAGTCGTGGCGGTAGCAGGTAGCAGCTGCAAGACTTTTGGCGCTATCGCTAGCAGTGGTAGGCGCTCGATTGGTCTCCTGATCAATCAACATGCCGAGACCTTAGGTCCTAAAACCATAAGCCTTCAGTTTCTAAACACAGGAACCACAAGCGTCAAGTCCAGGACCCATCGCATCCTGTGCGAAAGGAGCTGCGCAGGCGGTAGGGGCCTGAGTTCTTGCTCTCCTGCGTGAAGGGGCGGGCTTCTCATAGACACTCGTGCGGGGCTTGCCGGGTTTGGTATTTCGAAATTAGGGAGTCTTGTATCCTTCTGGTGAGGCTCCTACCGTAGAGGGTTTTTCTATCACAGTTCCCGATGCTCTGAAACTCCGAAATGCGTCGACGGGAAAGGCCAAACGACATCCCAAACCTTGCGAAAGCCGAAGCATACTTGTTCAAGGTTTCCATAGGTGAAGTCAGCTTTGCAATTCCTGCGGAAGGCATGCGCGAAACGGGGTGAATTTTGCCTTTGAGGAGTTCGGATGAAAGGGCGCATTTAGTGTTGAGCCTGGGGTTTAGGATCTTGAGCTACGGTGCAGGAGTTTGTACATTGAATCAGGGCATTAGGGTTAACGACAGCCAGCGGAGGCCCTGGATTATGATTAAGAACTTTCTTCTTGCACGAAGAGGAGGCTCCAGCACTATCATCCTTCCTGGGCCCCATGTCCTGCAGGGTCTACTTGGAGGTTCATGGGTAGTTATAAATATAGTCTCCTTACCTATAATCCCACTTATAACTACCCATGAACCTCCGAGTAGGACCTTTGCAAACAAAGGCCAAGCCCAAAAACCGAGGCGGAGATTAGCCCGAAAAGACAAAACAGGCATAAAGATAACATCACTAAGACTTACACCTCGTGTTCAGTCAGCGTGGCTGAATCCTGCAGCCTTTAAAGCCAACCCAAAACCCACAAGCCGAGACCCTTATGCAAATCCCCGAAAGCCTGAAGCCCTGAACGACGTACAGCCCATGAAGCCAGACACGACCAAGCCCGACAGCTCCGACTTTTTGCTAGCAACGGAGAACAGAAGGCGCCCAAATTTCCTGTCATAAACTAAATAGCTAGTAATGGTCACAAACCGTGTGTCGACAACAGCAGCAACAGAGCAGCAAGACATACGCTCCGCTATCCTGCACAGGCAAGTCCATGACGGAAGATTTAGGAGTCATAGTGCGCAAACAAACAGAAAGCTCCTAAATTGAGGCTCGGAAACCTTGCTCTCCGCGCTGGGTGCCTTGTCACGGTCAGAAGACTCTTCAAGGATCAGAGGGCTTGATGCTAGGAGAACTCGAGTGATCGTTGTGGTTGTTCTGGTGGTCGTGGTGGTCGTCGTAGTAGTGGAACCCTGTCGTTGTAGTACTGTAGTACAGTAGTAGCAGTAGTAGCTGAAGTAGAAGTAGAAGTAGAAGTGGAAGTAAGTGGAAGTAGAAGTAGAAGTGGACGTAGACGTAGAAGTAGTAGTGACAATAAGAATAAGACTAACAGCACTTCTTAATATGATTACTAGTGTTACATTCCAAAAGGAAGTAGTAGCATGAGGTCGATTAAAACCCTCGCTCGGCACAAGCCGAGGCTATCTGAAAGCGACCGGGAGGTCAGAAGTATCGAGGACCTCTTCGTGGAGAGGCAGGGTTTGGGCCTTCGCAGTTTGGTGTTGTTCTCGGATGTGGGAGTTTCCGAAAATAGGGGGCCCAAATATAGTAATTACCCTAAGTAGTCGGATCCTTATATAGGTCCCCTAATTTTCGGAAACTCCCATGTGGGCTTGAGGCCTTTGGATTCTTGAACCTCGTCGATGTCGATATTCCCAGTTGATTTCGGGCTTGGGTTTGTTTATCAGGCCTTGAGGTGCTTTGACCTTCGAGCTCTCATGGTCAACGGATGTTCCGGGAGCAGGAACCAGCAAGGGGTTCACAAAAAACGCTCAGATGCAGTCGGCTTTTCGATCACTACACAGGCACCCCCAAAAGGGATCCCCCGTAAGTTAAGAAACCCCGACGACGACAGAAGCTGAGCCGTGCGACGGAGCACAAGATCCGTGGTCGGATCGGGGTTGTGAATGGGAAGCTCCTGATCCTGGACCTGCTATAGGGTCTAAATATAGGGTCTAAATAGTTACCTATACTTCTTTTGGGGGTTCCTTATCATAACCATAGTGTGATTTGCCACCGACTTGAGTACACGTGCGACTTCTGTGCTTGTTAGGATTCATGCCAGCTTTGTTTCATTGACTGCTCAAGACCAGCTGTACGCTAGGTCTAGGAAAAGGCGCTTACGCCTGGGGAGGTGTAGGACTTGCCTGTTACCTGTGCAGTCCAACGAAGGGCTCTCATCTCCGATCGTCAAAGCCGTAAACCTGAACACGTCCAGAGTTGGGCACGTCCTGGCGAGGTAGGAGGCAAAACAATGGGTCCAGAGTTGGACCCCACCCTGAAATCCAAAGCCTTATCTCTGAGTTCAAAACTCTAAACCCTCAAACCCAAAGCCTTAACTCTAAACTCTAAACCCTCAAACCCCAAGCCTGAACCTCTCAAGCCGAAACTCCAGGCTCAAAGAACGGGAGGTGGCCCTCCAGCACCTCAGATACGAGCACGCCGATTCGGACTGGCAAGGGGCCTCTGGTTGAAGGAATATTTTTGGGTTTTGGGTTTCGGGATGTGCAGGCTCTTTGGGTAGAAGGTTATCGGCTTCCTGATTCCAGTGAAACCTCTTAAACTCCAATGCAAGCACACCCTATAGCGTCTGACTTCCCGCGTGGAGGCGAAAGCACCAAGCGACTGACAACTAAACTAAACCCTGCATTGAGATCGTGGGGCCCCAGCTGGATTGCTCCCTAAACTCTTAAAGCCCAAAGCCCTAAACCCTTTAGGGAGATCTGCCGAAGCAAGCTCGGCCCTGTTCTGAGATGCTTTTCTTCTTAGAAAGCTTCGGGAAGTGCACCTTCGGGAGTCCTTATCATGAGCATCCTCCGACGTTCCGGCCCCCTTCTTGCTGAATCACCTGTGAGACTGTGGTGCAGAGGAGCTGCATAGCCTCTCGCCTTTCTTGGGCTTGTATATTCCGACCGCAGGCCCCAGAAGCTCCGAGGTTTCAGAAAGGAATCTAGGTCAGGGGACCCTGAAAAAGAGACCCTGAAGGAGTAGGATCCTGTGGAAAGGTCCTTGCCTTGCGTTCGGGCCCAAGACCAGGCGTGGAAAGCCACACGCCTACTGCAAACGACCCTCCATACAACGTCGGTGCAGTGAGACTGGCAGTATGTCGGCCACATGGAGGATCATGCTGCCCATGGCGCTTCTCCTTAACTTTGCCGTCCTTGCCAGATCTTTTCAAGTTCTCTACGTTGGGCCTCCGCGGACAGGGACCCAGACGATGTTCACGGCTTTGAAGATTCTAGGCCTACGGCCACTGCACAGCGGCTACAACAGATCTGTCCGGGAGCCCATGTGCAACTTCCTGTACTTCAATGGGTCCAAGGAGGCGCGAGTTCGAGAGTGAACCAGTGAACCAGCCGGCCTAGCTTGGAAGTCAGAAGTAGGACCAGGAAGGCTGTACCAGTGTACCTGCGGTTGTTGCTAGGTTTAGTTGTGATTGACAACGGCTGGAGAGAAGGAAATGAACGCCAGCAGAGCTCCACAAAACTTGCTCCGGGCTTGGTGTGGCCCTGTGAATGTGAAGGTCGCTATGAACGTCCTCAGCGGATTCGATGCAGGCATGGATGAGCCATTCCAGCTGATGTATGACGCTGTCATGGAAGAGTTTCCCAATTCAAAGCTGCTTGCCCTCCGTTGATGTTGAGTTGAAGACTCGGGCAGGCAGCTGTAAGTTCAGCTTGCAAGGCGATAATAGTAATAATCATAACAATAATAGTACTACTAATGGTAATAACAGTAATCATAGTAAGTTACGACAGGAAATGCAGCCTCAAACCCAGGGTCCCTCCTCGGGCTGGCCACTCGCGTGTCAGCTTCGGGCTGGAATCTAGGTGGTGAGCAGGTGAAATCCCACACTGTGGCAGGCATTTCCCTCAGCAACACCTGAAAGCCCATGTCCGCTCTCCTTGAAGGTTCGTCATGGACAGCTGCAGGTAGGAATCTTAGTCGAGTCTGTTTGCCCCGTGAGTCCGACATGTGTCCAGATCAAGCCCCACCCGTGCCGGTAATGCTCGACGGTCGTATCCAGGCCTCTCGTGACACAGTCCCCGGCTACTGATGCCGCAATGCCCCCGGTTACACATTCCCGGGCCAGTCCTGAAAAGGGCAACACACTTTTGCGTCACCTTGCAAGTATTCAGATCTAGTTGGTAGTGAGCCTAATCAAGGTCCTCTTGACCCTAAATCTAAGCACGCATCCAATACGGGTGGGTTCATTCAGTGAAGGCGGTGAATCAGACTTATTCTCAGGTCGCGCGTGTGGGCTCATAAATACGTTTAAGGTTATGCAGGGCCCAGGATCCACACGAAAATGCCATGACATCGCGCTTGAAGGTATGCCTAGGCCCTCTAGACTACTCGGAGCTTCATGAATAACTTGGAGGTTCATGGGTAGTTATAAGTCAGTTCGTAAGTAAGTTAACTATAGTCATAACCCATACACGTAATAGGGGACTTGTGATCCCAATTTACAACTACCCATAACCTCCAAGTAGAGCCCCCGTGGAGCTCTCATAAAGCCCTTTTTTGACCTGTAAAACCCGGACATTTATACCCAGACAAAAGCTGAGGTTCATTTTGCCGGTGACGACGGCTGAGCAATGGATGAGTTCCTACAGAGATTTTTTCGAGAATGCCGCTCAGTCCTGAATAGGCCTTTGGGTTATTTAGATATTTTCCTGATTGGGTTTATAATGACCCTATATATATATACATATATATATATACTAATATTTTTCAAAGGGCTCTAAAGGCTAACCCAGTGAGGGTAGCAGACCCTGAGCCCGTGAAGAGCGCGGAAGTTGAGTGCTGAAGCCCTGACGTCCTACCACCTCCCACCCTGGCCAAATCCTAAACAAAACACCCGCTAGGGTTCGAGGGTTTGGCCCGAAGGGCTTCGGGCTGGCAACCAAAACAGCCTGAAACTTCGAACCCAGACCCCCGGTAGGATCCCCTGAGTTGGAGCCCTATACTACTTAGGGTACTTTCTAGAAAACCCCGCATTAAGGGATCTACTTGTTGGATCCTCCCGGGTGTCTGGGAAGCCATTCTCCAATGCCCACACCCGAAGATCTTAAAGCCCAACGCCACACCGCATTTATTTAATCTTACATTTTTATTATTATATATATATATATTGTTATTATTATTTATTATTATTATTATTGTTATTACTCTTATTTATATATTATTATATATTACGGTGCTCAGGACAAGTTTCCAAAGGAACGGCGGATCGCAGCTGCAGCGCAGAAGCGTCCCGTGGCTTTGAGGGCGGTCTCGATCATGCAGAGTCAGAGGATCAAGATCTTGTTTTAAGGGTTTTTGGGGTGGGGGGTTTGGATTTATTTTAGGGTGAGAGGGGATCGGGTTTACAGTTTACGAACTGATCCAGAAGCCAGATGCTTCTATTGCGAAAATGCCCCTGAGTGAATGTAGTACAGGGATTGGGCCTTGTGGGGCTGTAGACCAATACTACTCTGGGAGTTCATTATTGTAACCAAAGTACCCCCAAGCCCTATTCGATTGTTTAAGGCCCCTATATTATGGGCCTTCGTCTAGGGACTGCTTTACAATGTACACCCCAACTCTCGTGATTTTCATGAAAATGATCACAGTATTCCCCCGGCTGACTTCCTCAAAGGGAGAACCTTAAACCCTAAGCCAGAAACTCACTTAAACCAAAACACGCTTTGACCACAGACACCCCAAACTAAAGACGCCTTATACCCAAGAAACAGAAGTGCTTAAGCCCTAATCCTCAAACCTTAGCCCTAAAAATCCCAAACCCTGAGCCCTGGGACCCTAAACCCTGCATCCTGAACCCAAGCCCCGCACACAACTGCCATCCTGTCCAGATGTTGAATTCAGCAGAATGCACAAAATCAGATGAGAGACACCTCGAACATAAAGGCCTCAACGAGTAGAATGGGCTGTTGGCATGCGTAAGACTTCGCTTATATGGGGACCACAAGGGAACAGCGCGACTAGCTGTTCAGATCCATATATTACATGCTAAACGCATCTTGGTTAAGAGCTCTTGCGCTCACTGGGTTCCTACAGGCCTGAAGATCAAGCCGGGGGCGACGCTGGAGTATTTCGACCGAAAGATGGACGATCCTTGTCAGCAGGGTCGTAGTGGTTTCGGATCATTTTAGGGTTGGGGTCTTCTGTTTCTCATTTTAAGCAGGCTGCAGGTCAAGATGCTTCTAGAAAATTGCCACGAACAGAGCGCGAGGACCATTGAGACAGTTGCCGAATTCTTGAACCAAGAGTTGCCCCCCAAAACATCACCTTTGTGAGTATGATCGTGTGAAGAGCCCTCTTCGCAATATCGTGGTCGGCGCTTAAAATCGCTAGCGATTGGACCCGCTGAAATGAAGTTTCCCGACCTGCTGAAAACTGAGAACCTTTGCCTCGTTCCGTTCTCGTTCGCGTTCCGTACCCTTCCGTTCCCGGCACTGCCGCGTTCTGGGCAACAGCAGCGGTTTCAAATCGCAATACCCAAACGCTTCTTAAGTATTACCGGCCCGACACTGGCCAATGATTTCTGCTTTTGTCGTTGGCTCACCTTCCTGCTATGCCTTTCCCCATCACTCACCAATGATTTTTCCGTGAGTTGCATTTGGGAATGTTCGCCCCAAGCCGCTAGCGTCTTGCGTTTGGGAACTTTCCCGGAAAAGAGAATGAGGTGCGTTTGCGCTTTTTGGCAGGTTGCGTTTTGAAATCGCTAGCGTTTGCATTTGTGCATTTGGTGCGCAACAGGCGGTCGGCACGCCAATGCCAAGAAGAGAAGCAATGAAGCGGGAATTTCTCAGGGAGAGAGGGGTAGAGAGGCTCAACCACACCAGAACCCTCGAAACCACTGGACCCCTCCTTGCTTCCTAAACTTCCTAAACCCGAAAGTCATGGCCATACACCCCTCAAGCCCTAATCCTAAACGCCTAACCCCTAAACCGCTCAAGCCCTAAGCCTCACATGCCCAGGTGGGAGTTTTCGCTAACAGGGGACCCTAATGTAGTACCCCCAAAATCGTAGGATCCTTGTGAAAAGGACCCCAACATAAGGTACCCCCTTATTTTCGGAAACCTTAATTCCCTTATAGAGCCCTTTAAAAGGACCCTTATAGTATCCGTTTAAAGGGACCCCCAGGCGAAGTACGAGAACCTGGACACCAATTCGACTCCCAGAACCTACTGCTGGGCCTGCCACTACTGGGGTTGCAACTTCGGGAAGATCGAAGGCCTGGAAAGGCTTTAGGGCTTTAGGGCTTTAGGGCTTTAGGGGTTTAGGGTTTAGGGCTTAGGGCTTTAGGGGTTAGGGTTTCGGGTTCAGGACTATTTTAGGCTTGGGGTATCGGTGCTGCATGTCGGCCTCGGTTAAGATGATTGTGGGTCGTAGGGTTCAGTTACAGTTGGACAATATTCACAATATAGATACATGGGTCCGTAATTCGTGGTAGCCCCATGGGGGCAGTGCCGAAGCTTTAGGGTTTACGGGTTAGGGTTCAGGGTTCAGGGCTTGAATGTTAAGGGGTACCTTGTTTCGGGATCGTCATGGTGAAGGTACTTTGATCCCAGGGTTGTATATTAAGCGTTTCTTTAGTAAGGATACGAGTATTTTGGCGTCTTTTTTTTGATTCCTTGTTTTTGAAACTCGCTTTGGCATTAACCACGACTGTTTGACAAGGGGCTCGTGTGGGATTTGAGCATGTGGGGTTGTGAGAGAGCGTGCATCCATGAAAGTGTTTCAGCTATGCCCTGTGCTCTTGCACCTGCAGGCATGTCCGAGGAGGAGAACCGGACCTGCCTCGAGATCGCATCTTAGAATGCTTTATTAGCCATTGAAGTTATGAGTTGAAGCAAGACACCATAAACCCTAAACCCAAGGTGTTCAGCCACTTAGCCAATATGCGTGGAGCTTCTGGGTCCCGGTTGTACCTAGACGAACTGCGCTCGGACGTAGAAGAGCGAACAGGTCCGATCCCCAGTGAAGTATGCTGCCCGCATCAAGAAGTAACCTTTAAGTCGGACCGATGACTGAGTTCCTGATTGGGTTTGATCGGGATTCATACTGTCTGACCGGGTTTTAAGGAACAATTGTCACATGTGCAAAGATGTTTGGAAATGAGAGTATGATACGGGTGAAAGGCTACAACAACTTCAACGCCCACATGGAGCGAGTGAAGTCCACCATTCCTCCGTCACGACTGCTCTTGCCACTGGACAGTATGACTAATCATCCATCGTATGTAGGGTTCATGGTGTGGGTTTCCCTGCCCGGTTTCAGCACTTGCTGGCAGGGCGGCAGGGCAGTGGCAGCATCAGCTCTTGCAGTAGCTGCGGTGATCGCAAGGCAATGCAACTGCTTATCGTGCTCCGGTTCGCCGTGATGCTCGGGTGGTGGGTGCTTTTACTATACAGCAAGGGTGTAAAGTGACGATCATGGATTTTGGCACGGAGGAATATTCTGCAGTTTGGACTGAGGTTTCGGGTCCACGTGCAGTTCAAGCAGAAGAAACCAACACCGGGATACGCAAGACGCATCCGCTTAATGGTAAGTAGAGCCCCCGAAAAGAAGACCACAACGATATGATGTGCCCCGATGCCCTAGTGTACAAAAAGCCATGTCGACCCATGGCAGCCATATCTAAACCCTCAACCCTCGACCCTAAATCCTGAACCTTAAACCCTCAACCCTCAACCTCTCGCCAAAGCCTGCCCACGACCTCCCGCTCCGAACCGACCGAGGTTCGACTTCGCGGACGGCTGGGCGCCGCTGAGTCACTTCTTGGGCCGGCCCATCCCGGAGGAGTCCTTTTAGGGTGGAGGGTTCAGGATTCAGGGTTGAGGGCGACCAGGCTTCCTTGCAAGCAAGCCTGCAGCAAAAAAGGGTTGAGGGCTTCGGGTTCAGGGTTTAGGGAGTTGAGAAAAGAGGGGCACAGTCCTAACTGGCGGAAGAGCGGCAAAATGCCAGGCGTCCTTGCAAGCAAGCCTGCAGCAAAAGGGAGTTGAGGGAGTTTAGGGTTTAGGGAATCCTTAGGAAGCCCTTAGACATGTTCTCTGATATCCAGAACAATGCAATGTATGATGTAACCTGTCATAAAAGCGCTATTGAATTATGGTTCAAGGTTTAAGGTTTCGGCTGGGTAAAGTTTAGGATGAGGGTCAGGGCTTGGAGTTTCTCTTGGAGCTTTTTGGGTTTGAGCTAGTGAGCTAGTGGTTGCAGCGTCCTTTGAAGTCATACCTGATGCATGGCACTGCAAGTTTGAAGCTTTGCGTTGGTCCTTCGTTAGGTTCCGAACAGAGGCTCAGTAGCAGGCTGGATGCAACAACATCCACCCCTGTACGCCCGAAGCCCTGCACCCAGGTTCCTTCATCCTGGCTCCAGAACTCGCCTTAAGTCTTAAATTCCCAAACGCCTTTCAGGCGCAAGCTCCAATGTAGATCCCTGATTTGTGGGCCCCTTGTCTTTCAAGGCCCTGGCAAGAGGCTTGGCTTTTGCAATCCTTCGTCAGGAGAAGGCCTGCACAACGAGGAGTCTATAGTACGTTGCAACATTCCAAACCCTAAACCCTAAACCCCTAAACCCTAAACCCAAAACCCCTAAACCCTAAACCCTAAACCCCTAAACCCTAAACCCCTAAACCCCTAAACCCCAAGTGCCCTACGTAAGCCCAACACCCCAAAAAAGCCCCGAGAAGATGCCAGGAGCCTTTCCCCTTCACGGACCATTTCAGTGAGGCCAGGGCATAACTTTTTACTGCGAACAGCTACTTGGAGGGTCATGGGTAGTTATAAATAAGTGGGGTTATAAGTAAGGTAGCTAGAGTTATAGCCCATGTTAGGGGACCTACAACCCCACTTATAACTAACCATGGACCTCCAAGTAGCATGAACTGTTCTTATATTGTGCTTCGTATGACTATGTTCGTTGTTCTTATTGTGGTTGTGACTATCAGGCACGATCGCGGTGCTTAGTTTGTCGTGTGTTTTTTGACTTTTGTGTGACTCTTCTGGTTACGTTGTGAGGACAGTGTTAGTACCGCAGTAGCTGCTTGGATCCATGACTTTCGGAAACTCCGACGCGAGCATTTGTCCAAGCATTCAACTTTGGTTTGTTCACGGTGGACGTGTTGGACAGGTTCTTCCTTGGGCGCTGAGTAAATATTCATTACACTTCCTGGATAAGCAAGCCCCTATAGAACTTTCAGTTAGCTTGCGTTGTGCACCCGAACACAGAGACCTCGTTTGGCGAGTCCGAGTTGCGAGAGAGCGTATAAAACTGAAAGTTCGAGCTTTTCGAGGCTCCTGAACTCGGCAAATAAGCTTCAGCTTTCCTGCAGCGCACAGGAGGGCGACAGCGACAGCGACGAAGAACACGAAGTCCCGTCCTGAACATATTTCCCGGCTTTAAGACTTTAAGTTTTGTACCGAATGAACTGTTTAAGAAGAGGGGTTATAGTCTTTATGACAGCACTGTACTATTTTGTAAAGCATCGTCTTCACAAAGAAACGGCAGCTACAGTGCTTTTCTGTAAAGGGCCTCCCTGAGCGACCCAGGTTGAGGAAGAGGAAGCATCTGCCTCGAGCTTCCTGCAGCAGAGTCTTGAGACTCACCCGAGAAAGGAGCTCTAGGCAGGCTTGGGGAGACTTTTGCAGTTCTTGTTAAGGGATATAACTTGAAATTGCCGTAATAAAGAAACCACATGAAATTCACTGTAGATCCCTATTTTGGTAACTTTAACTAAATCGCTTAACAAGAACCCCGACGTCCTCACGGTTGCAAGGGTTTTCTGTTATGTCGAGGCTGCAGGGCGCAAGGCTTTCAAGCGGTAGGGCTGTTGGAGACATGGGAGTTTCCGAAAAATAGGGGTGCCTTATTTTGGGGGTCCTTACAAAAAGGATCCTGCTATTTAGGGTACCATATTAGGGTCCCGTATTTTCGGAAATTCCCACATCAAGGCCTCAGTATGCTGCACCTGTGGGTAGGTGTCAAAATTAAGGTCTCTCTCTTTTGGGTGCTCTAAAAAGTAGGTGCGGTACTATATCAGGAACCCGAAAGAAGGACCCTAATTTTAACCACCCCTGTGGGACCAGGAGAGATCTCCTGGAGAAAGTCCCCAAACTTTAACCCACAAGGCGCCGCCTAAAGTACCTAAAGCCCGAAACCACAATCGTGATTCTAACATCTTCTAGTCCTTTCTAGTACATGATAAAACATGCGAGTATTTCAAAAGTTCAGGGTATAAATATTCAGTTTTTCTACTAACTCCCAGCGTGAGTGCTTTTCCCGGCCAACTGTTGGAGGTGCCACAGAAACGGAAAGCTTTGGAGGGCCACGGCTCCCTCCACCTCGGAACTTTCTCTTTTTGTGAGAGTTGTTAGTTCTACCACACATAGTAACTATCAAACTACTAAGAACGATTATAACAACAATGATTACAACATTAGCATCAGTAGGAAGAATAGCAGTTAGGATTGCTACGATGAAGGTCGTTGTATAGAGCTGTTTAGGAGGATTCTGTCAGGATTTTGCGTTTGAAGTGTACATAAGGCAAGGGTTCAAAGTCAAGAACTAAAGTTGAACCGCTAGGAGCGTCGCCCGAACCTGCATGACTTGGTAGGATTATTGACTTGGTAGGATTAGTCCTGAATTCTTCAAAGCAATAACACATGGCATTGACAAAAGGGCTCATGTTTCTTCTAGGCTCTTTGGTTCCACCAAATAGCATGATACAGAAGCCCGCTTCGTTAGAAATGCCGATCCCCGGGTTTCCTTTGACGCCCCCAAACCCCAGTCTGATTCTTTTAAGTACCCATGTTTGCAAGCTCGAAACGGTTGAGGTTCGTGTAACTTCAGATGTAGCACGAGTCTGAAAGGTAAGCATTTCATGTCCGTGAGTTCGTGGAGAAGTTTCCTGATCTTATCTTCTGCAGCCCTTACAGGAACCTTTTTGGCGCGATAGTAAGACAGTAGCAACTCCTATCGCACTACAGTAAAGTAGGAGTCGAAGACAAGTTCCGTTTGGTCGCACCTGGGACTGTGAATGGAACGTAGTGTTCCAGCCACAGCTGCATGCCACGAGCCAAAAAGAGATGATAGATTTCAGAAAGCAGCCAGTACAAGGCCAGTATAAAAGCCTTAGAACCCGTGCGTTGAAAACCAGTACGAGAGCAGCTACATAGAGCTTTTGTAGAGCCCTCATATAGGTTTTGCGAAATTCAGAAGCCCTTCGCCTGCCTTGTCTGTGTGGGCCGAAACCCTAAACTGTAGAAGCACTTATTTTGATTCTTGTAAGAGTAGCATATTATGGTAGCCTTCATAGGATAGGAATGCCTTGAAGGAGCCCTTAATCAGCAAGTCCTACAGTAACCCTGAGAGTACTTGGAGGTTCATGGGTAGTTCTAAGTGGTCTTCTAAGTCCCTTAATGTGGGTTATAATTAGAGTTACCCTACTTATAACCCCACTTATACCTGCCCATGGACCTCCAAGTAGGCCCTAAACCCTATACCCTTCTAGATTCCCTATAGATCCCTTTAATAACGGGACCCTTAAAGGAACCCACTTATATCTACCCATGGACCTCCAAGTAACCTTTGAAAAGAGGTTCCGACCCAGAGGTTCAAAGTTTTTACCTTCGAAAGCCCTCGGCCATAAGTCTGAAGCGGAATTTGGGGTTTAAGGCTTTAGGACTCAGGCTTTAGGGGTTTAGGACTGAGTCCCAGCTGCGAAGGAACGGAGGTCCAGGGCTCAGGGTTTAGGGTTTTCGACTGAGGCTTCAGGAGTTTGGGTGCAGGGTTTTTGCTGCACGAAGACGTCTTTAAATGCATGGGTTCGCAAGGCTTTCGAGCATAGTCATGAGTGCTAGGTTCGAGGGTTTGCACCTTTCCAGAACTTCACTTCCCGCATGCAAAAGGACTTCGGGTTTAGGGTTGGTGGTTGGTTGGGGTTTGCATCATGACTTGGCAGGGCTTGGGAGGTTTTTTCTTGCAGTATCGTGCTTATCGGGTTTCCAGGATATAATGACAGTGCTAATGGGTCTGTGACCCTGGCGTTTCAGTGCATCTGAATTCGGGGTTTTGGGTTTACGGTATTGGTTGTACATTGGGGTCGTAGCATGTTTGGTTCAGGCTGAAAACTGCTGCCAGAGGCTTGAGGCTAAAGCACCGTCAATCACGCATCTCGTGTGAGGACGCCAAGAATGCACAGCTGCGGAATGCACTGCGGGCCATCGGCTTGGGCGATTCTTTGTGCGTGCCGGGTTAACGGGGGGATGTGAGTCTACATGAGCGCGAAGAACAGCAGCAGCTTGTCGCAAGATGCACCTGCAGATCCACTTTAGGCTTGAGGAGTGGGCCCCTCCGTCGACTTTGTTGCCTTAAAATACAGTTGAATATAACACAATACTGATACTAGTAATAAATACTCAAAACCACAAGGGGAAAACAGACCCTTCCTTGTCTCCATTGTCTGAGACTCGCAAGTCTTCCAGCCGAACCTTCAACCGAGAGTTGCTGGCTGAAGGCAACGCTCAGACCTAACGAAATCCCGAACAAACTTACCTTGGGTTAGTAGGGAATGGTACTATTATAACTGCTATTCCTACCAAGTCACAGGTATATCTTGGATAACCTTGCTTCGCCATCTTCAGCCATGCAAGAGACAAAACTACCATATTACCACCATATTGCTACCATATAACTACCATATCACTACCATATAACTACCATATAACTACCATATAACCACTATATAACTACCATATAACTACTATATAACCACCATTCTTCCATTCCCTACTAACCAAAGGGTAAGGCAACAGCCAATCCTCTTCAGGCGAGTGCGGCGGCCTGGCGCCCCAGGGAACTGGGCCTTTTGGGTGGGGAGTCGGGGAGGGAAGGAGTCCCAGGCCGTTTAGGGGTACCTTTAAAGGGTTTCTATAAAGGGCTCTATAGGGTTCTTGAAACCTGTTCTACTTCAGTTGCGGATACATAAGAAGGAGCTGATGTTGAGAGGGTTGCCAAGAGCATGCCTGGTTCAGGGCTTTGTATGAATCTAAGGCAGTTGCAATTCCAGGTGGCGTGCTGCAAACCCTTGTCATAGCTTCCCGTGAGATGTGAAGTTGGGGGAGAGGAGCAACACTTGATTTGCTTAATGATGTGCGGGTGGTCTAGTCGCAGCCGTCGCCGTTCTGTTTTAGGGTTTACGGTTTAGGGTCTTGAAGCGGGGCTGCGAGTGCCGTAGGCGCAGGCCGGCACCTCAGTCCGCGCTGAAATTGTCTTGGACTGCAGGGTTTGTTGCAAGGCTCAGCTTCAAGGCCTGCAAAACATGCGTTTTTGACAGGCAGATTAGGTTTTGGATCGCATTTCGCATGCAGGGTGTTGGGAACCGTGCTGCGGTTAGATGGCGGTCCGAAACCCTAGAGGCAAAAACCCCAAACCCTGACCCTCCAAGAGAGGGGTCGAGAGGGCTGAGTAGTTACCCTGATAAGCCCAAGTGTAGTCGTGCGAAGTATAATGAAAAACCAAAGCCTTATTCTAATCATTCTGGCACTTGTATCTCACTTCAAAAAAGTTTAAAGAGCCCTGTAACAAAAAGGACTACCATGCTTGAACACCCTTGTCAAGGCCCCAACATCTAGACCCACAGCCTCCAAATTCGAGCCCTGGTCCGCCCGGGTCCTCCCTCCAAGGCACTTCAGCACGCAGCAACGCTGGTTCCACCAGACATCGGCGTGAACGCTCCGGAGCCCATGCGGCCCCACGAGCATCGCTCTCTACGGTCTAGGCTTAGGGCTTAGGCTTGAAGTTGATATCATTCTTGCTTACTGCTCTTGCCGGCGCTGGGCGCATTGTCCAATAAGTGTTGCTCTTACCATCTTTGCAGCGGGGACCAAGTAATCATCCGCGTGCGAACCTAGCCTTCTAACACTGAGAGAATAGTCATAGTCAGTATCAAGAACCTTCTTGGGTCCCCTTCTGGTATTTAGGCGGGCCTCAATATCTGGTGCTATAAAAGAGTGAGAAGGCTGTCTGGACGCAGATCGGAGGTAATCTTCGGCTATCATGAGTAGACGTATCCAAGATACTTGAGATCATAAAGGGATGCTGTCAGTATCTTTCTGAAGTAGGGAGCTGTTTCAACCCTCATAGAACCCTCAGGGCATCTTCCCTACTCGGAGGTTCCTGGGTAGTTGTAAATGGAGCTATAAGTTTTGGAATGTGCGCTACAACAATAGTTGCCCTGCTTGCAACTTTAACCCCATTTTCATAACGACCCGTGAACCTCCAAGTGATCAGGGGATAGATGAGGCTCTTTGGTTCCTTATAGTATGGTTTAAGCTTTTTAGGTAGTTGTCAAAATTATGGTCCCTTTTTGGGTACCCTAAATACTAGGTGCCGTGGGACCGGGAAGCCGTGCCTGCGTGAGCGAGTGTGCGTGTCGAAATACTAGGTGCCGTATCATATCAAGAGCCCAAAAAGGGACCCTAATTTTGACAACCACCCATATTCCTTCATGAAGGGGTAATGGGCTCGCAGGAGGATGACCACCTGGCGTTGATCGGCGACCTCCAGCGCCAGGCGGGTTTACGTAAAAGGGGGGATCTTTTTTGAAGGGGGGGCTGCTAAGCCA